ATATTGAAAAATGAATTATTCAGTTCTTTGCCTAAAAAACCAACAATTGGTATCAGAGCTTTCTTCTTAAGGGATCTGTGAGTAAGTGTGTGAAGTTGCTGTGTCATGGACGTAGAAGCAAGTTCCAGTTACTCTTCAATTTCTCCACCGGTGTTTGATGGAGACAACTACCAGGTTTGGGCAGTTCGTATGGAGGCATATATGGAAGCTTTGGATATTTGGGAAGCACTGGAAGAGGATTATGAAATTCCTGCTCTCCCAAACAATCCTACCATGGCGCAGATCAAATTGCAGAAGGAGAAGAAGACAAGGAAATCCAAGGCAAAGGCATGTTTGTTCGCTGCAGTCTCATCTGCTATCTTCACTAGGATTATGACACTGAAATCAGCATATGAGATATGGAATTATCTCAAGTCAGAGTACGAGGGAGATGAAAGAATCAAAGGAATGCGTGTGCTAAACTTGATTCGAGAATTTGAGTTGCAGAAGATGAAGGAAAAGAATCAATTAAAGAGTATTCTGATAGGTTATTGGACATTGCAAACCGAATCAGATTACTTGGTTCTGCGTTCGAGGACTCAAGAATTGTTCGTAAAATTCTTGTAACAAGGCTCTGAAAAATTTGAGGCATCTATTTCAGCCTTGGAAAATACCAAGGATCCGAGTCAAATCACTCTTGCAAAGGTTCTCAATGCTTTGCAAGCACAGGAGCAAAGAAGAGCCATGAGACAAGAAGGTGCTATTGAAGGAGCCTTGCCAGCCAAGCATCATGAGAATGCAAGGAACAACAAGAAGAAGAAGTTTTTCAAGAAGAATCAAAATTCTACTGGAGAATCTTCAGCCAACAACAAATCAGGAGTCAAGAAGGGATCCTACCCTCCATGTCAACATTGCAATAAAAAGGGTCATCCTCCTTTCAAATGCTGGAGAAGACCAGACGCCAAGTGCACCAAATGTAACCAATTGGGGCATGAAGCTGTAATTTGCAGGAGCAAGAATCAACTACAAGGTGAAGAGGCTAAGATTGTCGACCAAGAGGAAGAGGATCAACTCTTTGTGGCTACTTGTTTTGCAGGTGTTGCATCCGAAGAAAGTTGGCTAATTGACGAGTGGCCGCACAAATCACATGACGCATGACAAGGAACTTTTCAAAGAATTGAGGCCCACCAACATCACCAAAGTCGAATTGGTAATGGTGAATATATTTCAGTTAAAGGAAAGGGAAAAGTTGCTATAACAAGTTGTTCGTGTACAAAACTAATTCATGATGTTCTCTTTGTCCCCGAAATTCAAGCAAAACTTGTTAAGTGTTGGTCAACTAATTGAAAGAGGCTTTAAGGTTGTTTTTGAAAACAAATATTGCCCGATTAAAGATGCAAGCAAATCGGATATTTTCAAAGTGAAAATGAAAGGGAAAAGTTTTGCTTTAAATCCATTGGAGGAGGAGCAAACCGCTTTCCCAATCAAAGAAAACATTACGAAGTGTGGCATAAAAGGCTAGGGCACTACCATCACCAAGGGTCGCTGCAAATGAAGTTCAAGATGATGGCAAATGACCTTCCAGAACTTGATGATCAAATTTCAAGTTGTAAAGCGTGTCGGCTTGGGAAACGAACAGAAACCTTTCTCAAAGATGACAGGAAGAGCTATGAGGAAGCTACAATTGATTCACACGGATGTCTCAGGTCCTCAAAGAACACCTTCCCTTAAAGGTAGTCTTTATTACATTGCCTTTATTGACGACTTCACCAGAATGTGCTGGATTTTTTTCCTAAAGTTTAAATCAGAAGTAGCTCAAGTTTTTTGGAAGTTCAAGGCAAGAGTTGAGAATGAAAGTGACTGCAAAATTCAGATCTTGAGGTCTGACAACGGAAAGGAGTACACTTCAACAAAATTCAACAAGTTTTGTGAAGAAGCAGGCATTGAGCATCAACTAACAACCTCGTACACTCCTCAGCAAAATGGAGTCGGTGAGAGGAGAAATAGGTTCATCATGGAGATGTCAAGATGTATGTTGCATGAGAAGAATTTGCCAAAAAGGTTCTGGGCAGAGGCAGCAAGTACAACCGTATTTCTTCAAAACAGGCTACCCACAAAGGCAGTAAAGGAAAAAACACCATTTGAGCCATGGTATGGCTATAAACCTTCACTCAAGTTTCTTAGAGTGTTCGGTTGCATGTGTTTTTCACATATTCCTCAAGTCAAGCGTGATAAACTTGACAAGATGGCTGAACCAGGCATCTTCGTGGGCTACAGTTCTTCCTCTAAGGCCTACAAAGTTTATCAGCCTAAAACTGGGAAGCTAATTATCAGTAGAGATGTGTATTTCATAGAAGATGAAGAGTGGAGCTGGAATGATTCAGAAAAAGGAAATCAGACCATGAAAGAGTTGAGGTTCAAACTTCCTATTTCAGACACAGAAGAAAACAGAGATGAAAACAGGCATAACGAAGATGTAGATGATGTTCCTATAAGAGGCACTAGACCATTATCTGAGATTTATCCAAGATGCAACATAGCTGTTTGTGAACCTGCAGATTTTGATGCAGCAAAGACGAATCAGCATTGGATGACTGCAATGGAGGAGGAGTTGTCCATGATTGTGAAAAACAACACTTGGGAGTTGGTTGATCGACCCCAAAACAGGAAGGTGATTGGAGTCAAGTGGGTGTACAGAACCAAGCTTAATGCTGATGGCTCAATCAACAAGCATAAAGCTAGGCTCGTGGTTAAAGGGTATGCTCAAGTGTTTGGTGTGGATTATTCTGATACATTCGCACCAGTAGCAAGACTTGACACCATCAGACTTTTGCTTGTCGTTGCAAAGCACAAAAGAATTGGAAAGTGTATCGCTTAGATGTCAAGTCAGCATTTCGAATGGTTTTCTGCAGGAGGAGATTTATGTAGAACAACCAGAAGGCTTTGTGAAAAAGGGAGAAGAAGATAGAGTTTTTCTTCTCAAGAAGGCTCTTTATGGATTGAAGCAAGCTCCGAGAGCTTGGTATAGCGTAATGGATGATCACTTGCTGAATTTGGGGTTTAAGAAAAGCTTATCCGAATCAACCTTGTATGTCAAGCACAATGGTACCGACATTATTATTGTTTCACTCGTATGTTGATGACCTATTGGTTACGAGAATCAATACAAATCATATTCAAAATTTCAAATAGGAGATGATGAAGGTGTTTGAAATGACAGATCTTGGGTTCATGTCTTACTTCCTTGGTATGGAGATTAAGCAAGGGCAAGGTGAAGTCTTCATCTACCAGAAAAAGTATGCAAAGGAAATACTAAAGAAGTTTCAGATGGAGGAGTGCAAGGCAGTAAGCACACCAATGAATCAAAAGGAGAAGCTGTGCAAAGAAGATGGTGCTGACAAAGTTGATGAAAGATATTTCAGGAGTTTGATTGGCTGCCTGATGTATCTCACAGCAACAAGGCCTGATATCTTGAATGCTGTAAGTATTTTGTCTCGATTCATGCATTGTGCAAGTGAACTGCATCTCAAGGCTGCAAAAAGAGTGATTTGATATGTCAAAGGCACAAGTAATTTTGGTATTAAGTTCACAAGGAGCATGGAGTTCAAGCTGATTGGTTTGATATGAGGAGCACTTCAGTGCTACCGTTTTACTTTTGGATCTGGTGTTTTTTCATGGAGCTCTAAGAAGCGAGAAACAAGTGGCTCAATCCACTGCGTAAGCCGAGTTTGTTGCTCGCCACAACAGCTGCTAACCAAGCATTGTGGCTGAAAAAAATCTTGAATGATCTTAATCGAAGCGGAAGGAAAGCACGCAGATTCTTGTTGACAACCAAGCCGTCATTGCCATCTCCCACAATCCAGTGTTCCACGAAAAGACCAAGCACTTCAACATCAAGCTTTTCTTCTTGAGGGAAGTGCGTAAAGAAGGAGATGTTGTGCTAATTTATTGCGGAACAGTAGGAACAAGTTGCCGACATCTTCACCAAGCCATTGCCAAGTGAGCGGATTTGAAGACTTGAGAACAAAACTTGGTGTTTGCAGCTCCTAAAGCAAGGAGGAGTGTTGGAAGAGTGCTTCAGGACTGAAACATGTCCACGTATTTTTTTAAGTTGATTATGTCAAAGTTTGTTCCTGTTTTTTAGGAAGTAGTTTTCCATGTTTTGTAATCATAGAGAAAGTTTAGGATCGTGTTGTTAGTGGTCAATTATTTTTAGGCTTTAAATATTGCAATGTTTCTGATATTGAAAAATGAATTATTCAGTTTTTTGCCTAAAAACCCAACAGCATTCTCAGATAAGCTGCAACACGTTAACAAAGGAAACTCCAACAGGTCATTTAAAAACTTTGCATTATCATACGATATTTCTTACAACAAATATACAATGTATAAACAATGGAGAAATAGAAATAACTGTCATTCCAAAATTACATACTGAAAAACTGATTTATATTATAATATTTGTTGTAGCATTTTCAGATGTGCATAACAAGGTAACTTCATAGCCAATGTTACTGACAACCATGCATTGGAAAAGCAAAAACAACGTATTATAGAAAATTATTAGAAAATAATAGGTTTAAATCACTTTTCATCCCCATAGTTTCGTGACTGTAAAATTTTGGTCCCTATAAATTGTTAATTACAAATTTGGTCCTTCAATTTTCCAAAACTAAGTAATTTTGGTGCAGCGTTAATATATCATTCAATTGTTAAGAGGAAATGTTCATATATCTTTCAGAATAACAAGTATTAAAGTTAATTGTCAAACCTACTTCTAATATCTTATGTAAATGAGTAATTGACATTGTTACACTTGCAAATATGTAGCATTTCATATAAGCACATAAAAGCAAAGGACCAAATTGCTTTTTGGAAAACTGGAGGACCAAATCTCCAATTCAAATTCTGTAAGGATCAAAATTCAACGCAATTTCATAACACACACTTTAAGGTCAGATCTACCACTATGGAATCCAAAACAAGCAGTTGGCATCCATCAATAGGAATGCTTTAACCATTTAGAGTCTACCTAATTTTGTGAGAAGAATAGAGAGAACAAGACCCACAGGTCCAGCGCCAATGATCAGAACTGGATGCACAACATCATTGCCATCAAGAACTCCTTCCTTTGAGAATCCTCTGCTTTGCATGTGCTGAAGTGCGGAAACTCTAATTCGAGTTTTGTCCCTAAAGGGGTAACTATACCGTTTTATAAACCTTAGAAACCCCATGACACTGTAATTTAAAAGCCAGGCTTAATTGTTCTCCAACAACAAGAAAACTCGAGGCTTATAAGTAATCTGGAAAAAAGAAGAGCAAAACAATCATGAACAATCTAACATAAACAAATCCCACTACCACCGTCATAATAATCAGAACATTGACGACAAAGGAAACAGTTCATGTCATTACACTAAAAATGAAAACATAAAAAACACCTGAGCCACCACAGTATCTAATGAAACGTTGTCAACAACAATACTCAGGTTTTCAATGATTCAGACATTGTATCAAACATGTTATGGCAGCTATAGAGCCAACCAAGCAATATCACTAACTTCTTTCTCACCACATCATGTGTGTGCCCCTTTTCAGTTTTCCCTTTGGATGTTGGAGAAATATAACCAAAATGTTTTGACTTTTTTTTCACCCTTATTTAATGATTTTCTGACTTTTATTTTACCCCTTCCGTTAAATTTTATGATAATTAATTACAAGTTAAATCAATAGCATGATTGTATTTTAATTTAGGATTTAGGAGAATTATATTGTTTGTATTTTGATTTTTGAAATAAATTATTTATTTATTAGTGGATCTGTTATAAGCTGTAATAAACAAGTTGCCAAAGAATTATTAAATGCAAAACTATTATAAAAAATTAACTGGAATTTCTTTAAAATTATGGTAAGGAGTGTCTTATTAACACATTTTTATTCTTTTATAACTGAACACGTTTATCTAATAAGATTTACATTAAATTGATTTAATAGTACTTTTTTAAAATTAAATTATATATTATTAAATTTTAAAAAAATTGATTACTATATTTTAATATATTATTATTGTTTAATTTTATTTTTGGTCTCTTTAATTTAGGGTATAAGAAATTTAATCCCTCATTTTTTTTTCATGGAATAAGTTTCTCTAAACCCTAGTACACAGTTTTAAAATTTCCGATCATAACTATGTCTCTCAAATTTGCAAAACAAGCACTGTATATAATGAAACTTTATTTAATTTTCTAATGCACTTTATGTTATACTTGTTAACCTTTCTTTATATCTGATATAAAAATATGTTTACCACATTTCAGAATTTACAGGATTAACAAATTAAAAATTATAATTGATAATTTTGAAAATTACTATTATAAAATAAATAAATATACACTATATAATAATTTATAACTAAATAATAATATAATTACACATGACCTATTCTATTATGATTATGATTAGTGCTAATAACTTATAGCATAAGATTGTTTGGTGCAAATCTCCCACCCTAGTTCTAGACCTAAAACTTTAGCAAATGATTTCTCTCTCTCTCAATATATATCTTTGTAAAAAAAAAAATTCTTATACAGTTTTTTTCTTCATAAAATATAAATATCCACCTAATATAGTTGCTTGTACATATTAATACACTTCCATTTGAGTGCATTTCTATTATATAATTTATATAGAATGCATGAAAATAACACATGAAATAAGGTTGAAGTTTGTTTTAAGTATTTTAGATAAGAAAAATGTTTTATAAAATAAAATAAAATTGTGTTTCTTATAACAATTTTGTTTACAAGAACGATTAAACTCATCATATATTAAAGTAATTTTATCAATATATTTTTTAACACTAGTTAAAACAATCTCCAACGGTGAAATTAAAAAAAGTCATTTGATAAAATATTTTATTGAAATACAAACGAAATTAGATGTAATACAACCATTTACTTGCGTCATCACATACTGTAATTTTATGATGTTACATATTATTTGTGTGATAGTCACATTCTATTAATATTTGCTTACATCATCGTACTTCAATTTTATGATGTTACATATATTATCTAAATGTGTACCTAGAATCATTTATTTTCTGTGAATAATTATTGTTAATTATACACAATATTAAATATTGTAACATATATTAATTTGTTATCTTTATTTTTGAAATTTTCACAATGTTACCAAACTGGGTGCACTCTAAATTAGGTGAAATCTCCTTCAAACATGTTTTTGACTAAAATATAGTCGTCATTTTAGGAGATATCCATCTCGCAAGTGTTAAATGTAGTTGTCACGACTATGTGTGCTTCTCTTGCATGATCATCATATATTTTTTTTAACTTGGCACGACTAAGAGTTGTAGAACTCTCCTGGGCCATTTCAATCAATTTATTGTGGTAGCACAGAAAATCCAAGGTCGAAGAGTATTTATTTTCTCGCATTAGGTGATATTTGATTACGTTCTAATTAGAATTGAAGTTTTGTCTCCGTAACATACAAAGTAAACGTTTACATTAGGCAAAGTGTAACTTCAAAATAATTGAAAAAACAAGAACTAAAATATCTAAGTTTTTTCCTATTGCATTGACGTGGCGAACAAATTTGATCATCAAAGTATTGTCTTGCTAAGGACAAAGGTGACCAGAGTCAATTCAAAGAAAAATATTGTGTTCACAAGAGACCGGTCAACCGTTCATCCAAATATGCTGATTCCTCCAGCATTCGTCTGTAGATACATCACTGCACATTCAAAGGTGTGAATATCGTGTTTATCTAAAGCATTGTTTTATATTCTATCTACATTCAGTAATTTGAATCAGCAATAGAAGAAGAAAGAATAACATATATGAGCTTCAATGAAAGAACTTAATGAATCATTTTTCCCATCACTGATTAATAAGTACAAGAATCTGACATGAAAATTTCAGTGGTTAAAAGTTGTATTACGTACCAAAGGCCTATCTCCTGTGATGTGAGGACAATGTATTTGAAGCTAATTGGGCATTTGAAGGCAACCAGACGTAAGCCAATGACTCTTGGTCACTTTCTGACTAATAAAAAAACATTGAGTTTACATGTTTTGCAGCCTCTGAACATTATATATAATAAGGGTTAGAGTAAGGGAAGCAAATGAAGTTCTTCAACAAGTATTGTTGGTTGACCAAATTGTGTTTTGGATTAATCAATTAATGGACTTTAATTTAATTTTGTTTTAAGTTGTAATAAGGGTCCAATCGGAAATTTAGTTATCAGTCTTTGGGAGACCAAGAGGGTGCATAGCTGATTGACTTTTGGATACCACAATTTCAGTTACAATAAATCATTAAGTAGTTTTCAATTCCTAGGTTAATAAATCATTATTAACATTTATTTTCCTTTAATGAATATTTGTAACTCTGATGGCAAAATTTTTTTATAAGCTGAACCATTTTTATAAGAAATAACAAGTTGAGTTTTATTTTTAGAAATATTAGAGTTTATCTCTTTTATTTTAGTGAGAGTGATTCTCCTAAGTTCTTGAGTGATTCAAGAATCCTTGGCTGTATCAAAGGATTTTCACATTCTTTGTGTGTTGCCTCCCTTGGAGAAAAGTGATTCTTTCCTTCCACCTTCTTTCTAATTCCTAAATTTCTTACAAAGTTATAACCCTAAAGATCCTAAATCACCCCTTGTGATTCATATCAGTTGGTATTCAAAGCCCCAGTTTAAAGGTTTGAACAATAAATTGATGGCAGAGGAGGATAAAAAGAGAATGAGAGAAAATATTTCAAGAAAAGAGAGAAAAAAAGAAGAGTGAAACATTTGAAGTGAAATAGAGCTATTTAGCCATAAAAAGTGAATATAATGTTAGTTCTACATTCAATTTGTCAGACTTATCTCTTTTTTATATAGATGACGAATCCGATTTGAGGACAAATCCTTTTCAAGAGGGAGATAATGATTTGAAGCAAATGAAGTTCTTCAACAAGTATTGTTGGTTGACCAAATTGTGTTTTGGATTAATCAATTAATGGACTTTAGTTTGATTTTGTTTTAAGTTTTAATAAGGGCCCAATTGGAAATTTAGTCATCAGTCTTTGGGAGACCAAGAGGGTGCATAGTTGATTGACGTTTAGATGCCACAATTTCAGTTACAATTAATCATTAAGTAGTTTTCAATTTCTAGGTTAATAAATCATTATTAACATTTATTTTCCTTTAATGAATATTTGTAACTCTGATGGCAAAACTTCTTTATAAGCTGAACCATTTTTATCATAAATAACAAGCTGAGTTTTATTTTTAGAAATATTAGAGTTTATCTCTTTTATCTTAGTGAGAGTGATTCTCCTAAGTTCTTGAGTGATTTAAGAATATTTGGTTAATCAAAGGACTTTCACATCCTTTGTGAGTTGCCTTTCTTGAAAATAGTGATTCTTTCCTTCCACCTTCTTTCTAATTCCTAAATTTCTTACAAGGTTCTAAACTTAAATATCCTAAATCACCCCTTGTGATTCATATCATCCAAGCTCCCTGTGCTAGCACAATATCTCAGTTTAGATGCATCACAAGTGCATGTTACAAGCGAATGCCACCTGCTTGCAAGTGAAACAATGCCTTGAGCTCTATGTGAAATCTTTGTTGCTGCATGCAAACAAGTAATTATTCCAACTACTTGAACAAGCGTAGAAACCTAAAAGGAAGGGAAAATAAAATGATGGAATCTGAAGCTCATATATATCTACACTCCTGACTTTTCAAACACGAACAATAATCGTCAGGATAAACTCTGGGTTGACCTATAAGCTTGACAATAATATTGGAATTTGAATTTTGGTCTAACACAATTTTATTATAATACTTGTAAGAGAAGAATTGTCTTATACTTATGTATTATTCTACTTCGGTCACATTAATCGACTTGGGATTTCCAATAGTGAAAACCATGGAGAATATAAAATAATGGAATCTAAAGCTCTTAAAAAAAAGTTCTCTACGTTGAAACTTGAAAAAAAGTAGAAAACAACAATGAAAAGCTCACAAAAGGCTGAAACAATTTGAAACCAGGATAGCTTGACCAAGAAGGAAAAGGAACCAAGTCCCTCAATTTGAATACATTAACTGTTTTGAACACAAGGAACCGAACTAACAGCAAAATCTCCACCATTTATGAAAGTCACAACTCCACCATATCCAGTGACATGTAGTAGAGTAAGAAATTGACTAGATGTGACAACCAAAAATTGTATCGCAACCGAATATGTTCATCCAACACATCATTTTCCCTTTGCAAGAGTTTCCCGTAATCATCGAAATGAATTAGTTTCATATAGGAGACCAGGTGAAATAGAACACAGGCCAATAAAGAGACTGCACTCACACAGTCCATGATACAATCAGAGCCATCAAAACAGCAAAAGAGAGCCATAAGGATCCTTCTTCTACCAAGGAAAGGTGAGTGATTTCTCAGGCTGTTTTCAAAAGGAAACATGGCAACACCCACAAAATGATCAAGCGCAAAGACCCCTAACAGCAAAACAGTTTTTAACAGTCTTCTAATGATGTTGAATCTGTTAGAAAATCAGAGTCTAATACACTCCAAGTATCTTGAACACTTTATGGATGTGAGCGAAAGCGTACACAATGCTTGTAAAATTAATTGAAATCTATAACACATGAATAGTACTTGACACCGAGATGCACTTGTCACTACCAACAAAATAAATAAAGAAATTGTACACCAAAATTTTTACGTAGAAAATCCAATGAGGGAAAAACTACTGGACAATCTCCGAATATAATACACTATATTAAAGGATAATTACAATACCCTATCTACACTCTTTTTATCAAGAGGTACCCAATATAGTGTATCCTAGTAAGACCCTCTTCTACTACAACTGTAATATTACAGAGCACTAAAGAGTATACCCAAAAAAATTCCAAGTGTAATTCCCAGTGTATACACACAACACTCTTGAAATTTTTCACCACTCTCTAATTTTTCTCACTATGCGAAGCACTTTGTACTTGTTATATCTTCAGCCAATGCAATGAAGCCTATTTATAGGCAACTCAATGCTCTCAATACATGTAAATGCATTTATTGTTTACCACCATTTTCACCATAGATAGCTTGTAGCCTCCATCTATGAACCAAAAATTGCTTGCCTTTGTTGATAATTATATGAGAGAACGAAAAATCTTCCCTCTTATGTTGAAATGCAAGCCACATGTTCTCACAATTCTCCACCTTGACTTGCATTTCATTAATGTTGGTCTTCAACTTCTGCAAATATTGATCAAGTCCAAGCAATGTTTGAACTTATCAATTGGCAACGATTTCGTCATCATGTCTACTGGGTTCTCAGCTATGGGTATCTTCTGTACTGCAACTATGCCACTAGTGACACTTTCTCTGATAAAGTGGAGTCTAACATCAATGTGCTTTGTCCTTTCATGATAGATTGGATTTCTAGCCAAGTGAATGACACTCTGACTATCACAATGTACTATTGGTACTTGTTGAGTCAACCCAAGACTATCCAAATGACCTTTCACCCATATGCTCTCTTTCACAGCCTCAGTCAATGCCATATACTCAACTTCAGTAGTTGACAATACAACGGTTTGTTGCAATGTTGCTTTCCAACTAATAGTGCATCCAAAAAATGTAAAGACATATCCTGTCAACGACCTCTGTTTATCCATATCTTCTGCATAATCAAAATCTACATAACCTACAACTCCTTGGTTCTTTTTACCATCAAACATCAAACAAAATCAGTGGAATATCTCAAGTATCGCATGATCCATTTCACAGCTTCCCAGTGTATTTTTCCTGGTTTGCTCATGAATCTGCTTACTACACTCACTGCATATGAAATATCTGGCCTGGTGCACACCATGACATACATGAGACTGCCAACTGCATTAGAATAAGGTATATGAGCCATATGCTCCACCTCCTCCTTAGTTGGTGGACACTCTTTTGACGATAACTTGAAATGTGCAGCTAAAGGAGTACCAACTGGTTTGGATTGCTCCATATTAATGTTGTAGCACCTTCATTATATAATTTTGTTGTGATAAACACAACCTGCCACAATGTCTCTCCCTATGAATCTCCATCCCAAGAATCTTCTTTGTTGCACCCAAGTCCTTCATCTCAAATTCTGCTCCCAACTGATTTTTCAACATACTAATTTCAGCTTTGTTACTTGCTACTATTAACATGTCATCCACATATAACAATAGATAAATCCTAGAACCATTTGGAAACCTTTTAGAGTAGATGCAATTATCATATTGATTTCTATCATATCCATTACCGATCATGAATGCATCAAACCTCTTGTACCATTGCCTCGGGGACTGCTTCAAGCCATACAATGACTTCTTCAACAAGCATACATGATCCTTCTTTTCAGGAACTATGAACCCCTCCGGTTGAGTCATGTAGATTTGTTCCTCTAACTTACCATGTAAGAAAGCAGTCTTCACATCAAGTTGTTCCAGCTCTAAGTCAAACGTACTCACAATAGCTAATAGGATCCGAATCGAGCTATGCTTCATCACAGGAGAGAATACTTTCTGGAAGTCAACACCCTTTTTTCTGAGTATAGCCCTTTGCTATCAGTCTTGCCTTGAACCTTGGAGGTTCAATGCCCTTGATTCCTTCTTTCCTCTTGAAAACCCATTTGCAACCAACTGTTCTTTTCCTTTTGGTAATTATACTAGCTCCCACGTCTGATTTTTCTGAAGAGATTCAATCTCCTCATTCATTGCTATTAGCCACTTCTCTGCCTCTTTACTATTTACAGCATCACGGTAGGTAGGTGGTTCATCTTCTACCGCACCATCCTTTAAAGCCAAAGTAAAGGCTATAGGATATGCATTTGACAAGTCAAGTACACAGGCAGTAGAGTTCCGATATCTTACATGTTTCTGAATTACTCGTTTATCTCTGCCGGTAACAATGTTGTATGGTTCTTCATTAGTTTCTTCATTAACATCCCTGTTGTCGGGTTCATCTAGTTGTTCTACTTCAGGTTGGTTAGTACCTAAAGTACTCGGCTAATTTGCGTCTTCTTCTTGATTCATTTTCTCAACGTCAATCTCTAGCTCCACCTGTTTCTCAGCACCATGATCGGTTACTACTTGATCTCTGCAAGATTCCTGTTTCTGATTTACCATTGTCGCCTCGTCAAATGTGACATCTCTGCTGACAATGATCCTGGGTAAAGATGACTTTTCATTACACCACAGTTTGTATCCTTTCACCCCTCGTGCATACCCTAAAGATATACACCTTCTTGTCCTCGCCCCAAGTTTACCATCTCTCACATGGGTATATGCAGGACAACCAAATATCTTCAAACCAGAATAGTTTACAGGTCGACCGGACCATACCTCTTGTGGAATCTTCAGATCAATCGCAGTTGCTGGAGATCTGTTTACGAGGTATACAACTGTATTGACCGCCTCAGCCCAAAATGATTTAGGAAGTTTAGCGTTGATTCGCATGCATCGTGCACGCTCTAGAAGTGTCTTATTCATCCGTTCTGCAACTCCATTTTGTTGTGGTGTTCCAGGTACAGTATGGTGCCTCACTATACCTATCTTTCTGCAAAACTCTTGAAACTCTTTGCTGCAAAATTCTCCGCCATTGTCGGTTCTCAATCTTTTGACTGATCGCCCGGTTTGCTTCTCAACCATGGCCTTCCACTGTTTGAATTTCTCGAACACTACATCTTTATGCTTCAGGAAATAAATTTATACCTTCCTGGAATAATCATCAATCAGAGTAAGGAAATAACGAGCTCCACCTAATGAGTTAACAGGGGCAGGACCCCACACATATGAGTGAACATACTCTAATATCCCCTTATTGATGTGTTTTGCACGACCAAACTTCACTCGTTTCTGTTTTCCAAATACACAATTTTTTCACAAAAACTGAGTTTGCAGTTCTTCAAACCTTTCAGCAGTCCTCTACTAGCAAGTATAAACATCCTCTTCTCGCTCATATGACCAAGCCGCATGTGCCACAATCACGTATCATCATCATTTGATCTCTCAAAAGATGTGACAACAACAGTCCAAGAGACTGTGCTTCCCAGTAATAGATAGATCCCTCCTTGTAACTTTCCTTTCATCGCCACCATCGAGCCTTTGATAACCTTCAAGAAATCGCCTTCTCCAGAGAACTTGTACCCCTGGTTGACTAGGGCACTCAATGAGATTAGGTTTTTGCCTAGCTCTGGTACATGCCATGCCTGAAATCTCCACTCAGTGTCATCGTCCAATCTAACTCGCACCTCTTCTTCGCCCACAACAGCAATGACCCTGTTGTCTCCCAACCTTACCTTTCTTGTCCGCTTTTGATACGAGGAGAAAAAATGTCTATTAGGTGTCATATGAAAAGATGCGCCAGAATCTAGGATTCACTCTTTACTTGAGTCACTAGTGGAAACTGTAAAGACAGACTCAACATCATTATCTTCTGAACTCTCAACTATTACATTGGAAGAACTTCCTGATTTCTTTCTCTCAGGACATTTTCTTCGGATATGTCCTGCTTGGTGATAATGAAAACACTTTATAGTTTTATGACCTTTTGATTTGGATCTTAACCACTTTTGTTTCCCATTCCTTTTTCTTGATTACGTCCTCTCGCCACGAATAGTCCATCTGCAGGATTATCAACACTTGATCCTGAAGCTAATTTCTGATATTCCTTCGTCATCAACGCCTCTTTGACAATTTTGACGGTAATGGAGGACCTACCATACATTATGGTATCACAGAAATCATCATAGGATGATGATAGTGAAGTCAATAAGATCATAGCTTGGTCAATATCTCCAACTGTTATTCCAACTGTTTGCACATCGGTGATCATCCGATTGAAATCATTAATGTGGTCTCGCATTGATTTATCTCCTGAATATTTGAACGTGTACAATCACTTTCTTTGGTAAAGTTGGTTTGACAGGGTCTTTACAAAGTATTTTTCTTCTAAAGCCTTCCATAGTGAATCTGCCCTCTTTTCACCCATAACTTATCACAACACACTATCTACTAGACTTAGTTGTATTGTACTCCGTACTTTGGCCATTATCTCCTCCTTTTTATCAGAAGATAGTGATTATGACAATTTGTCTATGTCTTCCAACGCCTTTGTGAGACCTTGCTGGTCTAGCAATGCCTGCAACTTTAGCTTCCATAAACTGAAGTCGTTGGATCCATCAAACTTTTCCACATCAAACTTTGGCACCGACATCTTGATTTTTTTTTTAAAAAAATTGGCTATGATACCACTTGTTAGGAAATTAGAGTCTAATACACCCCAAGTATCTTGAACACTTCATAGATGTGAGCGGAAGCATACACAATGCTTGTAAAATTAATTGAAATCTATAGCACATGAATAATACTTGACACCAAGATGCACTTGTCACTACCAACAAAATAAATAAAGAAATTGTACACCAGAATTTTTACGTGGAAAACCCAATGAAGGAAAAACCACGGAATAATCTCCGAATATAATACACTATATTAAAGGATAATTATAATACCCTATCTACACTCTTTTTATCAAGAGGTACCCAATATAGTGTATCCTAGTAAGACCCTCTTCTACTACAACTGTAATATTACAGAGCACTAAAGAATATTCCCAAAAAATCCCAAGTGTAATTTCCAGTGTATACACACAATTTCTCACCACTCTCTAATTTTTCTCTCACTATGTCAAGCACTTTGTTTGTGTTTGTTATATCTTCAGCCAATGCAATGAAACCTATTTATAGACAACTCAATGCTCTCAATACATGTAAATGCGTTTATTGCTTACCATCGATTTTCACCCTAACTAGCTTGTAGCCTCCATCTATGCACCAAAAATTGCTTTCCTTTGTTGACAATTATATGAGAGAAGGAAAATTCTTCCCTCTTATGTTGAAATGCAAGCCACATGTTCTCACAGAATCCCCCAACAAAACTATAAAATAGAACCCTTAACAACCTTAAACAAGTTTATATTACCAAAACAAGCACAAGTTCAAACAACACAAAACCCAAATAGTCGAGAAATTATCACGTGATTTTGGACCAACACGTGTTAATGATTCCGATCAATCTCCATCTGACATATAACAAATTTTTAAATTTATGAGAAAGAGTTAATAAAACTTTATCATATGTCTTGTAAAATTACTATGGAACCATGTAATAATATCTCAGAATAACTAGAGTTCGTCAAACACAAATTTTGAAAGTGAAAATATCAAAATTTTGACTCTAATTGGTCACAGCCCTCACCGAAATCTGTTTTACGTAATCATGGTGAAAACATGGCATTTGAGCAGCGTGGCGGTCAACGAAGAGGAACCTGGTGAGGCCATACTTGCGAAGATTATGAGAGGCAGATCAAGGACACAGCAGCCAGACAACTCTGAAATGCAACAATGCCAATTTCAAAACCCTTTATTTGATTCTTGTCCGTGTCATATACCTGAAGCGCCACTAGTGGTGCCGCCACTCCCACTGCCACGAAAGCTGTCCAAGACACGGTGAAGCTCAACAATGATGACTGGTTGAAACCAAGCAGCGTGAGAAGCGCTTCTAAACGTGCAAGGATATCATCAAGAGGTGTTTCTACATCATTGCTGTTGTTTTCTTGTGATTGGTGTTGGTTGCTTTGATTTGAGTTTGAATTTAGGAAGGTACTGTTGATGTGAGTTGGTAGAGTTTGCTCTCTTTGCATGACCATGACTTTCTTTACGAAATCTTAGGACCCGAAAAACGGCATCATATGAAGATTTCCGGTTTGCAGTGGAAAGAGGAACACCATCAAACTGTTTTGACTTTTGACATGGAAGAAAGTGGAACAGTGAAGCAAAGCATTTTGCATTTGCCCCCAATCAGGCATTCCCCTTTACATTGTTTATTGAAGGAATAAGGAAAAAATTCCTTCGCGGGTGAGGATCTAAAAAACGCGTGTTCTAGTTTGAGTCGTTTCGGACGTAAAATAATTTACTAAGATCATGCCATTGGGTGGCCAACACGTCTATAATAGAAGATTTTATGAGTTTGTATGGACACAGTAATTTGTTGTGAAGTCAGATACAAATAACAGAAAAATATTAAAATCCTTTTCGCCTGACACAAAATAAAACTAAAACTAGTAATTTGATATTATCTAATATAATTTGACTAGAATGCTTCCTCCCGTGCTAATCTTTAATGGGACCCACAAACATCCAACATAATTACGTATAAAATAAAATATAGTCTTGAAATAGGATGCAATCCTGTAACTGTAATATGGAAGAAGGAAACAAGTTGTGAATTTTGAATATCCATCGACATGATAATGTGCATGTTTACTTAATGTTTATTTCAATAAAAATGTGTATTGAACAAATAGTTTGAGTTTAAAAGAGGAAGTAATTTCGAGAAAGAGGAACAGTCTTGGCTGCGGTGCAGGTAAGAACCTGTCCATCTGCTGTAACTGTGTATGTTTCTGGATCCACAGCGATTTGTGGAAGAGCGTCATTCAGTTTCATGTCTAGTTTGCTGAGTTTCCTCACATTCTCCACAGCTTCCACCCTCTTGTTAAGTCCGTACGTGGCTTTTACCCCATCGTCCAAAGCTACCTGCGTGTGACAGAACAACATGTAATGTAATTTTGAAGAGAAAAAAAAAAACACGCATATGCATGCTGCTTATGCACGAGTCACGAAAGAGAGAGGGGTTAGATACATGCCTTGCTCACAAAAGCTATGGAGTGTGCACTACCAGCCTTGCCAAATGCTCCGTACATAGGCCTCATAATCACCTACAACAGTGTGTTTCCCAGTTTAGTACAAGCACTTCTATTTTTAGATTGATGAAATTTCTTTTTTTATAAGCTGTTCTAAAAAGTGTGATTTGACGAACTTTGACACCGGTTGGCAATTGATCTTATAACCAATACACATACACAAATATTACCGGTTCAGGTGTTGGGATGCTTGCATTTGGGTCACCCATGTTAGCATATGCAACCTCACCACCTTTGATCACCATTTCTGGTTTTGCTCCAAAAAATGACGGCTTCCATAACACAAGATCAGCTAACTTCCCCACCTGCAAAACCAGGTCTAAATGAGGGGCGCGAGATGATACTAATATTATAAGGATCAGATTTATTGCAGCCAATTTGATATGTATGTAAATTGAGGTAAATAGTTATGGGGGCAAAAAAAGAGTAGTGTAGTATTGATGCACAATAGAAAGCTATACAGCTGGCTGAATTCCAGAAAATTGGACCATTTATACTACAATAATTCCATGTTTATAACTCACTGTTGAATTGTTGTGAAATTAGCATTACTAATGTAACTTTGTTCAAATGTGGAGAAACAAACGTACATGTCAGAAACGAAAAGGTAGTAGCTGTTGGGAGTCCGGGCCTGGAAGGATTAATGGGCTAATACTCAAGACTGAAGAGAATCAGACCCTAGTCAAGACCTTAGGATACAAGTCAAGTAACATCTATTATATATCTATCATGGAGCCCTTTCCTAGCCAATGTGAAACTAACCACTCAACATTTAAATTGACATCAGTAGCTAATGTAAATGTCTCTCACCTAGTGTATGCTATGCCTCTACATACAGCCTTTTTCTTCGTATATTTAATCATAGAGCACTAGTAGCGCTTGTTCACAGGAAAGATGAACTTCCAGTTATCACTTTTCTTCCTTGGAAAATTCATGTCCAAATTGACAAAGCACTATATATACGTTCAAGCATCATACCTCAACTGAACCAACATATTGCGACAAACCATTTGCTATAGCTGGGTTTATAGTGTACTTTGCAACATAACGTTTGATCCGAATGTTGTCATTCTGTTCACCGGGCTGTAGTGGTCCTCTTTGTGACTTCATCTTATCGGCAGTTTGCCAAGTTCTGCATATGACCTAAGCAAGAAAATGATTCAACAATATAATCACGACTCCTGGTGATCACAAAAATAGTCTACCTACTATTATGAGTATACTACCCAAAATAAATGCAAAGACAAGAATGAAAATTCTGATATGTCACATTAACAACTGTAAGAAACAAGTGTATTTCTTCCACAGACACTTTCTGCACAAAACAATAACAGAGACCTGAAAACAAATTGAGAGAACTTTCACAGGCACCAACCATTTCATTTTCAGGATTTAATTTGACATTATCAAGCTTTCCATTTCATTTTTCATAATAAATACGAGAACAATTAAGTCCTGTGCAGATAGGCTAGCTTAAGTTAAGGAAGGACCTCTCCAATTCGACCCATAGCCTGTGAATCAGAAGATATAATGCTAATTGCCCCCATATCATGCAAAATATCTTCAGCAGCAATTGTTTCAGCCCTTATTCTTGATTCAGCAAAAGCTACATCTTCTGGAATATTCTTATCAAGATGATGGCAGACCATCTGTACATCATGAGTGTAAATTAAGGGCCAAATAGCACAAGCTGTGCACTATTACTTCTGTGATTTATTTCATACCAGCATATCAAGATGCTCATCTATGGTATTATATGTATAAGGGCGTGTGGGATTTGTCGAAGAGGGTAGGACATTCTTCACACCACATACTTTTATGATATCTGGAGCATGGCCACCACCTGCACCTTCACTGCTCAAAAAAATATTGGAGGAAAGTCAAGAACCAGCCAACTTAGACTGGAAAACAGAACCACAGAAATATATCACAGTTCAGAGAAAGAATGGTGCTCTCACGGGAAGAGAGATCATAGTCTACTTACAATTACAACAATATAATTCATATGTTAACAAAAATATAATAAACCATGGTCACCTTGAATGGGATCAGAAAGAAGAACCGATGATTAAAAAAAGACAGAGAGCAGTAATATGCAAATTCATAGTAGGACAAATGATGTGGGCATTCTATTGTGGGAAGAACAAAGGTTTAACCTATCGCTTATTTCACATTACAGAAAAGACCCGATGTTACCAAGGATCACATAAGGAATTTCACAAATAAAATTAAAATGGATATGTTTCCTCAACAACTGTTACAACAGTACTTAACAGATACCAGCACGCTATGCCAGTGCTTTATTAGATATCTTTAAGTTGACATATACCTGTGATAAGTATGAATAGTTCTTCCTTTAAATGCAGCAATTGTGTGTTCGACAAATCCAGATTCATTTAAGGTGTCAGTGTGTATGTTAACCTATTAAAATACATGTTCACAATAAAAATCAACAAAAAATAACAAAATTAAATAAGTTGATATATTCAAGAAAATTGTACCTGGATATCATATTGTTCTGCAACGAACAAACAACTGTCTATTGCAGCCGGTGTTGTTCCCCAATCCTCATGTAGCTTCAGTCCCATAGCTCCAGCCCTGATTATTTCATGCAGTTCATCAGGTTTGGCACTATTCCCCTGAAGCAATAAATGGAGGATTGACTTCAAACATACATTAGATTTTCTATAGGTCCAGAACTTAACATTAGGCAAAAAAAAAAATAAAAATAAACAAAAAACTCAGAAAAAGCATTGTATATGAACAAAAGAAAAAGATAACAGACTTTTCCAGTGAAACCAAAGTTTAAAGGCATGTCATCTGTTGATTGTAGCATCATTTTCATCTGATTTGGTGCTGGTGTACAAGTTGTAGCACGTGTTCCATCAGCGGGTCCAGTTCCTCCTCCCACTAATGTTGTGATACCTATATACAATGCAGAAAAGGACTGAATAAAATCCAATGAGTAGGTTGGATCACGAAGGATGCTTGGAAAATAAGTAATTTGGCTATTGAAGTTTTCAATGTGAAAAAATATAGCATAATCACAACCAAATTATCTCAAACAACTTTCAAAATCTTCATTTACATGCCAGTCGTGAATCCAGCACACTAGAGCATACATTAAATGTTTAAAAATACATGTAATGCACACTAAGTAGAAATTGTAACATGTTATGAAACTTACCACTTGTTACTGCGTCATATACTAATTGAGGGCATATAAAATGAACATGACAATCTATAGCCCCAGCTGTCAATATCAAGCCCTCTCCAGCAATAACTTCCGTATTAGCCTAGATATGAGTGGTGAATGTATAAATTCTATCACGATAATGATGAGGTAGGAATTCAACTCATTGCCTTTGAGACCTGGAAGGGAACTTACCCCAATTATCATATTATAAAATACATCATTCATAATGTCTGGATTTCCTGCTTTTCCAATGGAGGAAATCGATCCATCTTTAATTCCGATATCTGCCTTGATAATTCCAGTATAATCAATGATCACAGCATTTGTTATAACAGTATCCAAGGAATCCTCAGGTGTATGGCCACATGATTGACCCATTCCATCTCTTATGACTTTCCCACCTCCAAAAACACATTCATCACCATAGACAGCAAAATCTTTTTCAATTTCAGCAAACAAGTCAGTGTCACCAAGGCGGATTTTGTCACCAGTAGTAGGGCCATACTTGTTAGCATATTCCCCTCGAGAAATTACTGTAGTTAATGAATAGTCTTCTCCAGTAACACCTTCCCTGAGAAATTCATATTTGTGGTGAAAAATCTTTTCAAACATGGAGAAAACAAAAAAAAGTTGGAAAAAAAAGCCGAAAAAAAAAGGAAAACGAGAAAAGAAAACGTATAAAAATGGCAAAAGCCTGGGATAGCATTATATTTGCTCAAGTAATAAGAGGTGTTTTATTAATAACCCAATG